TGGCTCTGGGCCCAGCTGGGTGGTGGAGGGAGAGGGGTCCTGCCTTCCAAGCAGGCTTTGCAGGACGGGATCCCACTGGCCCCTGCAGACCAAGTCAGGAGGAGCTGGCTTTGTGGCTGGTTCTAAGGCCTCCCCCACAGTGTAAACTGCCACTCCCAGCCCAGCCACGGCTATGCCTTCCAGACCGCCCTTAGCTACAGCATCTGCTGCTGCTAAGCCCTCTGTACAGTGCCTCCCAAAAGGTGTGCATCAGTCACCTGGGGGCTCATTAAAAAGCCTGATTGTCAGGCCCTCAGCAGACATGGGAGTGGGGCCCAGGAATCTGCATGTTTAACAAGTCTTCTAGGTGATTCTGATGCTGGCCGAAGCTGGAGAGCCATTGATCTAAATGGTCCACTAGAATGCTTGGCACATAGTAGGTGTTCAATAAATATCAGTGCACAGACTGTCTGTTCTTGTGGACGATGCACACTGTGGTGGAGCCTTCCTCTGTACCTGCTTGCAAAGTGCAGTCATCAGCCTGTTTGGGGGTGTGTGAGGTGGTGGAGTGGGGGGCTCTCTGAAGGCTATGGGCTGCGCTAGGAAGTGAAGAAAGGCTCCAGGGAGTCCCAGGCTGAGGGTACATGCTGTGCATGCAGCTCTGAGTTGGGACCAGAAGGCCATGGTCCTGTCTGCTAGAAGCCTGCTTGTTACCCATTACTGAGGAGCAAAGGGGCTTTTTCTGCACCGGGGAGCTGGGGATCTAAGATGTGCATGGCCTGGGTGGCAAGGCTGAGGGGGCAGGGCCTGGGAGTGACTGGGCTGGGCCTCGGCCCTGGCATCCTTCCCTTACTACTTCCCACCCCTTTACTGACTTCTGCAGTCCTCCCTTACTTCAACTTGATTGAGACTCTCCCTCTGTGTATCACTGGGTCACCAGGGAAATAGAGGGGATCCTGACCAAGTCCCTCTGCCCCTGAGGACCACACAGTCCGGCATGAGAGGCAGGGGCTGAGCAGAGCTCCCTGGCAATGGAGGCAGCCAAACTCGGTTTGAATCTGCTGTACTCTTTATTAGCCAAATAAGCTTACTTATTATAAAGTTGACCTCTCTGTTGCAAGACAACTTCTGTAAGCCCTGTGGCCCAGCTGCTAGAATCACAATTACTAAGGAAGGACAGGGACATGTAGCAACTAATCATAGAGAGGTGAGCGTTTGCGCGAGGTCTGTAGAAGCACCGGCAGCTGCCTGGTTGGTGGGGTGTGGTGAAGGGTGAGTTTCACAGAAGAGAAAGTTGGGCTTCAAGTTGAAGGACAAGTAAGTGATTGCCAAGCAAACAAAAGGGAAAGACATCCCAGGCAGAGGAACCCACGTGGACAAAGGCCTGGAGGTGGGAACCCGGTGTTATACAGGCATCCGTGGAGGTTGGAGTATGGAGCTGGGCGAGATGTGCCAGGCTGGCAGGCTGGGCCAGGATGTGAAGGCCTCCTGCATCTCTCCGAGGAGGCTGGACTCAATCGTGAAGACTGGGGAGCCAGGGGCACGGGCAGTGCTCTCAGCCTTGGCACTACCCACATTTGGGGCCGGATCACTCTGGTGGGGCTGCCCTGCACATTCCAGGATGTTTAGCAGCATCTCTGAGCTCCCATGAGATGCCAGCAGCACCTCCCCCTCCCCCCTATAACTATGACACCCTCAAATGTCTCCAGACATTGCCAAAGGTCTCCCAGGGGATGGGAGGAAAAATTGCCCCTTGATTGAGAACTTCTAGACTGGGGATGACATGACTACCTTATGCCTTTGAGAGCTGGCTCTGACTGCACCATAGAGAACAGATAAGAGTGGCAGAGCCTGAGAGCCAGAGGACTAGTTGCAAGGCCACTGGAGCATCTCAAGTGAGAAATGGCCAAGGCCAAAGCCAGGGCTGGGCTGTGGGGCAGGAGAAGGGCCAGATGATCCAGACTGGGGCAGGGTGTTAAAGGGACTCCCAGTGCCGTCACTGAGTTCTACCAGATTCTTCACTGGAAGGTACAATATCATGGGTGCCAAGATCACATCCATCTGGAAGAGAGAGAGTCCTAGGCTACCTATGCAGTCATGCTAAGAAACTGAATGTCAAATTGTTTGCCCAAAATGTGCCATTGCCCATCCCCGGCCTATATAAGATGTTGGGGTTAGAGAAGCCAAGAGAAAGAATTTTGGGAAAGGGGTCACCACTGTGCTGAGCACCCTCTGCTGCCTCTCAGGGGAGAGGGTGGGTGCTTGGGCCAAGCAGGAGGGGCCGCAGGAACCACTCTGAGAGTTTGGTATCAGAGGGGTTTAGGGACCACAGGGACTGACGGAAGATTCTTGTCAGTTTGTGCACCCCAGGGCTGGCTAACAGGAGGTGCTTCGAGAAAGGTTTGTGGCATGAGGTAGAGACTGAGGCTGGATGGGCCTGAGGTGACAGAGCTGGAGCAAGACAGGGTGCACAGGGTGTGAATCAGGCTGCTACAGATGTAGGGCAAAGGGCCATGTGGCCTTCAGGGCGGAAGCGAGCCTTGGGCCATCTCTAACCCAAAGTGCTTCCTATGGGGGAGGAGGAAGAGCCTGGAAGACCACCATTCCTGGAGTAGAACAAAGGAGACGGGGTAAGTTGTGGCCAGCATGGGGCCCAGGAGAGGGGGCGGGGGTCAGGGTGTGCTGCGGTCAGAGGAATCAGTGAGACAGCCTCCAAGATGCCTGCAAAAGTGCCCCCCTGAGAGAAGGAGTGAAAAACTGCCTCCAGAGGCCCTAGTGTGCGGTGAGGGTGGGGGGTGGGTCACACCTATAGCTGCCAAGGAACACTGTATCCTTTTCTCCAAAACCCTCTCCCTAACCACACCTGGCAGAGTTAAGCGAGAAGTCACCCATCCCCCACCTCAGGGCAGGTTCCAAGCCCTGTCCGGTTGGAGAAGGGGAGAAGCTTCACAGTGGGAAGAGAATAGAGCTCCGTGGGTTTCCAGGACAGGACCAGACCCTCATCCAAGAGCCCAGAGGGTTGTTTCTTGCCTGAGAGTGCCTGGAAAGGCTGTGGGACTTGCCCAAGACTTCATGCAGAGGCTGGGAAAGGACAGATCCCCAAAGCAAGTTTAACAGGGTGTGTGACTTTCTCCTTAGACCCAGGCCAGATATCTTAGGTTTGGCTGATAGGAAGCACTATCAGGTTGGAGAGTGGGAGATTGGAGAGCCGGAGAAAGGAAGAAGCCAGGATATGTCCTGCAGTGTGTGGTGTTTCCTGCAGTGGCTGCGTCTCCTCCAAGTTCAAGATTCCCCTGGCTTCTGGCTCTAGTACTGCTACCTCAAGGCCCAGAGCCAGCGGTAGCTTCTTGCAGTTACTAATTGTTTTCTTAAGTTCTCTTAGCATCTTTATGGCCAATTCTTCATAGGAACATTAGACAGGGCTTGCTTTCCTGTCCGCCTGGCTGTCACCTACCCCTTGGAGCCGAGCTGGTGGAGCTGGGATTGGCAGGTGGGATCCCAGGAGGGTCCCCACATATGGGTTGGTGATAGTGCCACTCCCCGGGGTGGGAACCAGTGGAGGGCGTGAGCCTGTGGGGCTCGGGGGTTTGTGGTGTGTAGGGGAGATCCACGGAGAGCCATCTGCCCCTGCTTCCACCAGTGACAGTGCACTCCTGGCCTTTGGCTCTCTCTTACGGATCAGGGAGTCCTCAGAACTGCTCCCAGGCAAGACTGGTAAGAGCCAAACAAGTCTTCATGCTGGTGTTCGAGGCTGACCCTGTATGCAGGGTTAAGTCCTGGGCTCTGCCAGCCGCACCCGCTGCGTAGTCCATCTCTCAGAAACGTAAGAGAATCAGGTGATTTCCCAGGCTCCTGAGCAGGAGGTGGGATTTTCCGTCCCCCAAGGGTCACTTCCCAGTTTCTCACTCAGAGCCTAGAAGCACCATCCTTGCTGTCTCTATCTCGGTGGTTGGTGACCCAGAGCAGGCGTCCCTGTACCTATTGGGGCCTTTGCTGTGAGGGAACAGGGGAACAGAATAGCATCCTGCCACCTTGCCTACCCTACTCCTCAGAAATGCTCTGTGGGTTGGGGGTGAGGACTCTCAGGGCCAGGAGAATATGTTCTGGCCATGCAGGCTAGTCCTGAGATTAGACTTGGCACTCAAAGCGAAGGGGGTGCTGGTGGCAGCTAGTGTGGGTGCTCAGTCATGATGTAAACTCCAGGGAAGCCAGCCCTCACGCTCTCGGCCTCTTCTGGGTCCCCATAACTTGCTGGATGACTTTCTATCCCAGCCTCTGTTTACTTGTCAGCCACCTGTCAACAGGGCATTCAAAGAAGCCAAGGCAGGGTCTGGCTCACTCTGAGACGGGCTTGCAGAATGTTTAAGGATAAGCGAACAAATGAACAGCTTAAATGTATGCAGAGCTTATGGAGTTACATATATATACTACTTTGAAAGTATACATACATATATAATATCTACTATGTTATGTATATTATATATCTTTTAATCTTCAGAATAGCTCTGAGATTAATGCAGAGATTCAGACCCAGGTGGTCTGGCTTTAGCGTCTAAATGAATGAATGATCTAGAATGCCCCGTGGTTCCCCCAGAGCTAGTGTCAGCTTTGTGCGATGTTTTTCCAAATTAGTGACCCACGTTCAGGGAGGGGGGTGACTGCCGGAGATGGTTGGGGTAGGTAGACGTAGGGCAGGTCTAGAGGCACAGTCTCGGGGTAGCCACAAATGTAGTGGGAGCCTGTCCCCAGTGCGGGTCTCCAGCCTCCTCACTGGGAAGGATGACACGAAGGGATGGGGGCGTCAGGAGGTTGAGGAGGGGTCACCGAGGGCTGAGAGTGGCTGTCGTTGGAGGTATTGCCCAGCGCTGGGTTGGCACAGCTGGGGCCAGGCTACGTGTCGGGGTCAGGGTGTAGGGCAGCTTGCGGGGCAAGGGGCGTGGGTGGGGGGGAGTGGTCGAGGGGTCGGCCCCGCCCCGCCCCGCCCCGCCGCCTGCCCCTCTCCAGCAGCCGCGGGCGCCGGCTTTCGCTTTCAGTCCGTGGCGCTCGAGCGCGGCGGAGCCCCGGGGCGAGGCTCGAGGGCGCGACCGCCAGGGACGCCGGACCCCGCCCGCGCGCGGCCGCGCTCTCCCCCATGGCGCCCGCCGCCCTCTGGGCAGCGCTGGCCGTGGGGCTGTGCACCGTGCCCGCCCAGGTGGGTGACTCGCGCGGCCCCGCGGGGACGCCCGGCCTCCAGCCTACCGGGCTGGCGCGCACCCTTCCCGCGACGTGCGCCGTCCGCGCTCTCCCGCTGCGCCGCGACAGGGGTTCGGGGCTCGGGGCGACCGAGGCGGCCCGCCAGTCCCCGGGTCGGACGCGCGACGCTGGGGACCCCGGGTTTGGCACGGGTGCACCCGGTGCACTATCTGGTCCCCGCGGCTCCGGGGAGTGAGCACCCCGGCCCCTCCGCCAGCTCCGGCCAGGGGCTTGGGACCGGCCGGCGGGCCCTGGGCAGATCCCAGGTAGACCCTGGCTGGACCCCAGGTCCGTTACCCCTGCGACTGAAGCGACCAATCCTGCCCTCCCGCGGGGGTTGGTGGCGGTGCGTGTACTGGGGCGCTGCCCCCACTGCTGATGCCGGGCACCCTCCTCAGAAGACTACCTCCTCTGGGCTATGGTTTTCCTCTTTCTGAGAATCCTAGGGCTGCGCGTCTGAAAGGGCAGGGCCAGGCGTGCCGGAAGCGTGGACTGGGGGTCGTCTCTAGGGCCCTTTGCCCAGACCCCTTCCCCAGGACCCCTCGTGTGTCCAGTGGCCCTTTCGAAGCCTCTTTTCTGTGGGCTCTGGGGTAATGTGAGGAGATGGTGTCCCCCGCTTCCCCTGGGCCTACTTCCCCGAAGGGCCTGAGCTCTGGGGACAGAGGGGGTGAGGGAGGCCTTCTGGGCAGATGTGGTCTCTGAGGTCCTCTGCCCTCACCACAGCAGCACGGTGCAGTCTGCAAAGGGGATGACTGGTCCTTGGGCTTTTTTGGCTGTCTCCACGGTCTGTTAAGATAGGGTGACCCCGTTTTACCGGGAAGAAGACTGAGGCTCTGAGAACTCCTTGTATTTCATGGCAGAGCATGGGGGGTGTCTTCTCCTTCAAAGGGGGCATCTTTCCTGCCTTGGCTGGGGAGGAGGTATGCCTTCATCTCTTCCTTATGAACTTACCCTGGTGGATACACGGTGCGCTGACTTGTCTGGACATCTTGACGGGGGAGGAAGGTGGGAAGGGACACTGGCTCACGCGGTAATGTGACGTGACTCACTGGCCACAGCTAAAGGTATCTTTAGAGTTCAGTTCTTGAGGGCAGAGGATGGAGGCTGTCAGACCAGACTTGACTCACTCAGTGCGGGTGCCAGGGTAGGTCCTGGGGGACTGCCGCAAAGGTTGTCCTGGAAACAGAAGGTTCTGGGTGGCCTTTGGGTTAGGAGAGTCCCTTAGTGTGTAGGTCCCCAGCCTGACTTCAGGGTAATGCTACCAACTCATTGAGGGGTATGCTGGGCAGTGAGCCCCAGGGAGAGGAGCAATAGGGCTTCTCTGCAGGACGCTATGCCTGAGTCCTATTGTTTGAGGGGTTTCCCCCCCAGCTCTCACCTCCATCCCTTACCGACTGGCTCCTGTGTCCGCTCAAGGCCCCTCCTTCTGGGACTATCTCCACAGCCTTCTAGCTGGTCTCCTGGCCCCTGGCCCACTCTCCCACTGATCCTTCTCCATAGCATCACTGGGGAGGCCTTCCTCAAGTCACAGCGCCTCTCTCCAGGCCTGAAAAACCTCCCATAGCTTCCAGTAGCAGAGGCAGAAACTCCCTCAAGTGTCCCAGGCTGGAGTGAGTGAGGAATCTGGGTTCTTGTTGCTACCTCTCTGCTCCTGTACCCCACATCTGTGAAACATGATCATCATACTGTCCGCTCTCCTTGGCCCCATCCTTCAGGGACTTATACACGTGCTGACTCCTCCAGGAAAGCCTTTCCTTATTGTCCCAGTTAAATCTAATTTGCTCTTTGAACTCCCAGAGCCCTTCATCCCTCTACAGGATAGACTACATTCCAACTTTTAATCTAGATGTGTTTTATCCTCCTTAACAGATGGAAATGCCTTGAGGGCAGGGACTGTGGGGTCCTCCTCCTCCTCCTTTTCATTATTAGCATCACAATGGCTCCTGTTGTTTTGCACACCTACTAAGTGCCAGGCATTGTGCTAGGACTTTGCTACAGAATCTCACTGAAACCTAAAAAGTAGACCGTGCTATTTGTATGTAGACATATGGAATGTGAGGCTCAGAGAGGCTGTGACATTTCCCAGGGTTACAGAGCTAGGAGGTAGGCGTGGAGTGGGATGTGAACACAGGTCAGCCTGACTCCAGAGCTCTTTCCACTATACCCTCCCTGTGCCTGTGGCCCCCTCCTGCCCCCAGCCAGGTCCCCTGCACACAGCAGACAGTCAGCAATATTGGATACGACTAGATCAAGTTGCAGAAAGTGCCCAGGGAGACCCGAAGTGGTTGCAGGTGTGGCCAACTCAGTTTGCCAACAGGGTTTTTGCCTCTAAAAGCTGTATGTGCTGGCTGGTGTGGAATGCATCATTTATTCATCTGGTCATTTGCTCATTCAACAAATAAATGGGGCCAACTCTAGTTAGGGAAGAGGTCGGGGGCTCCCAGGTTGGGGTGGAGATAGATGATCCAAGGCACCTGCTATCCTGGGATGTCCCTTTGCCCCCTGCCTGACATCCCAGGGGGCACCTGTGTGCTTACCGAGGATGTTGCCCGGTGGTCAGGTATTCCTTCAGAGGGCAGGTGGCCAGGCACCTGGATGCCGTGCCATTCATTCATTCATTCCCAAACATTCATGGACATCTGCTCCAGGCCCACCCCAGTCTGGGCTCTGGGGACCCTGAGATGACCACAGCCCAACTCCAGTCCTCCAGGAGCCACATTGCTAATGGTCTTGGACTTGGGCTCTTGCCCTAACTTCCCTCATGACCTGGGCCAAGTTAGTGAGCCTCTGTTTTCCCATCTGCGGGTGTGGAAGGCACTCCCGGCCTTGTTCTTCCCACGGGGCCAAGGGGATTTGAAAGGTGTTGAAGCAGATAAGGCTAAGAACCTGCCTGGCATCCTTGTGTTGGGGAGTGGCCCTCACCATCATCCTGGGGCCCAGCTCAGTGGCTCCTGGAGTGTCATGCCTCCCAGGCACTGACCATCCATTGCTTCCTCCAGGAGTAACCAGGAAGATTGGGGTGGGGGTGTGGTTGTCAAGGGGAAGAGTTTTGGTCCCAGCCATAATGTGTGTGTCTGTGTTACATTCAACTCTGCACATCAACTTAATTCTCAGTTTTATGCCACGCTGGCTGCCTTTCTGTTCCTTAAACATGCTGCACACACATCTGCCTCAGGACCTGTGCACTTGTTCTCCCTTTCACCTTGAATGTTTCTCCTGCTGATATCCCCTGATCTCATTCCCTCACTTTCTTCTGGTCAAATGAATTGTCTAAGAGAGACCTTCTTTGACCATCTTGTCTATAAAACTCCTCACCAAGTGCTCTCATTTCCTGACCTGCTTCATTTTCCTATATAGCACTCATGATCTATTATATATTTTTTCACTTTTATTGTATTTTCCTACTAGAATTAAGCGTGATGAGGGCAGGGACTTGTTCACTGCTACAGACTCATAGCTCAGGATAGGATTTCGCATTCTCAGCACTGTTGGCATTCAGGCCATGCAGCTGTGGGGATTACCTTGCATGTCGTAAGATGTTTAGCAGCATCCCCAGTGTCTACCCATTAGCTGCCAGTAACACCCCCTTCAGCTGTGACAATTAAAAATGTCTCCAGATACTGCTAAATGGTCCCTGGGGAGAAACTGCCCTGGCTTGAGAACCACTAGCTTAGAATAATGCCTGGCATGTAGTAGGTGATAAACAATATTGAACAAATGTCCAGAAATATTCATCTGATCTTTATCATGAGCCTGTTTTATGAATGAGATGGAAGAGTTTAAAAAGCCAGTGGGGACAGGACTGGTTCCGCTTGGCTCCCCGTCTCCGGGATTTCTCTGGGCTCCCTTCCCTGCTGTATTGGGTCTGCCCAGGCTAGGGGCTACTCTTTCCATAGTGCTCACCCCCCACATCCACCCCCTGGCTTGTGACAGGGCCACCCTCTGGCAGTGACTCAGGGCCCTAATAGGCCTGTGACTTTCCCTGAAGCAGGTAGGGAGGGAAGCTGGGGGTTTGGGTGGGGAGGGGGTGCCACGGGGGGAATGGGAATGAAGTGGAGCTGCTGGGTTCCTGCCAGGCCCAGGGAAGTAGGATGGATGAGTTAGGGGAAGGGCCCAGGACTCAGATCAGACCGACCTTGGCTCAAGGCCTTACTTTGCTGTTTATGGGAGGTGTGACCTTGGCAGGTCTTTTCTTCTCTGGGAGCTTCTGTGTTCCCATCTGTAAAGTGGGAATGACCCCATCTCATTGGCTGGTTGTCAGGATTAAAGGTGCTTCGTAAGCTGTGCAGCCCAGTAGTGGGTCTTGGTGTGATCGTGACTCTGCAGAGCCTGACCTGACTGGTCTCAAGGAAATGCTGGCACCGACCACTGCAGAGCCAGATTCTCTGCCTCTGAGCCGCAGGGCCTCGAGGCATGGTGCCTGGAGCTCCTGCCCAACATTGCTGACTATAAGCTCCCTCCTGCCCCCCTGCCTCCTGGCTGGGCCTCTCACACCACCTGCCCAATTGCCTGGCCTTAAGGCCCTGACATGTGGCAAAGGCTTCAGGGTCAGGAAATCACTCCCTGACCCCTTCCACTCCTTTGAGTGAGTGGCAGGTGCTATATGTCATTTGAGGGTGAGTGAGGGGTGCATTTGGCATAGAGGCATCTCATGACGTCTCTGTGAAGGAGATGCAGATGGCTTCAGCTTTCCCCTCTGTATGATGGGCATGGGCTGATTCCAGGCTGTCTGTAAGGTCTCTCCCTTCTCTAACCTCTGTGATCCTGGAGGGTCAGTTTACTTCAGAAGTAAACAGAAGCCCCACCTGAGAATGGGAAACCCTGTGGAGGCTCTTCTGAGGTCATGCTGACCATTCCTCAGCCTCCAGCTGACTTCATAGACAGCAGGGTTTCCAGGGAAGAGCACTAGCCTAGGTGCCAAGGGACCAGAGTTCCCATCTGAGCGCTGTCACTGACTTG